GGCAAGAAAAGTCATGGGATGAGACACACTTAACAATTTTTTCACTTAGCAACATAAATGTTGGGCTCAATTGAGGATTACCCGTACATTTGGGTGCCTCAAACATGAAATATATAGAACTGTCAGATGCGTTGTTACTTTAAATAATCTTGAGGTCATCAATTGCATCTGTAGGAAAAGGCATCTTGTAAGGGACCTTGAAACAAAGATCTCTGCTGAAAGAAAATGTATGGAACAGTATCAGTATCTATTATAATTTTCTGTTGTTTTTATTTATCCATTCACTATTTGATTTAGTTGCTTGCGTCACTTATTAGGACGGCTTTCTCTGTTTAGCTAAACAATTGCTGTGATTGCAGTCTACTTTAGGCTTAATTTATAATAATTTATTTAACTTCCAGGCTGCAACAAGGTTTGCATGCCTTTTTTTAAAGCACTTTAAATATTTTAGGCAGTAGAATGGTTTTTAAGCCTCCTCTAACCTTCAAAACAACTCAAAAAAGGAGGCTAACATTTTGGGCTTGTCACTTTTGGGGGGAAGGTCTGTGTCACTACTGGGCTGAAGATCACCTGTAGGCCACATTTTTGGCACATTCACCTATTTTTCGTGGTAGCCAAGACAAATAATATAATAATAATATAATAAAGTTGGAAGGGACCTTGGAGGCATCTAGTCCAACCCCCTGCTCAGGCAGGAAACCCTATACCATTTCAGACAAATGGCTGTCCAGTCTCTTCTTAAAAACCTCCAGTGTTGGAGCATTCACCGCTTCTGGAGGCAGGTTGTTCCACTGGTTAATTGTTCTAACTGTCAGGAAGTTTCTCCTTAGTTCTAGGTTGCTTCTCTCCTTGATTAGTTTCCATCAATTCCTTCTTGTTCTGCCTTCAGGCGCCTTGGCAGGACAAAAAGCAACGGATGGAAACTAATAGATACTATGTATGTATGTATGTATGTATGTATGTATGTAGGTAGGTAGGTAGGTAGGTCGGTCGGTCGGTCGGTCGGTAGGTCGGTCGGTCGGTCGGTCGGTCGGTCGGTAGGTAGGTATAGAGATAAAGATAGAGATAGAGATATATAGATATATAGTAATTCTATAATAGAACTTTTGTATGCTTATATCTATTGCAGAAATAGTATGTCTTTGTACTATTACAATTATTTTAGTTTAATTTTAGGAAGTGGAACCACATTCGTGCCAACAAGTATACAATTGAAAGATGAAGATCAGATAAAGATTGGTGGAAATATATGCATTTGTAGACTTAAATTTCTGTACATGGATGTACATGGGGGGGGGTCATCAAAGTCAAGATAGTAACTATGATCACACAACTGTGGGAGCCATCTTGACCTTTCTGACCTCTTCCCACACTCCTGCATACTTACCCCACTCTTTACGCCCCTGTAGCTCAGTTTTGAACTTGGTTGAACATGGAAGACTTTATAGGATTTCTAAAAAGTCTTCCATATAATGGATTGCTTTAAAGACACATTTTCTTTGAAATTTTGCTTTCAGGTTATGTAGTTAATAGGTCTAAGCACCACTTTGAATTTGAAAGGGTAGGGCGTTTGTGTAGGACAAATCAGTAACTCCTTATAGTTGCTGTAACTTTTCCTGGGATTACATGGCTGCCCCACACCATTGCAGAGTAGTCTCAGGAAAATATCTTTTTGATTTAAAGCATTTCTGACAGATGACATGTATGTTCTGAAGCACTTCCCCCCCCCCTTCAAATGCCAAAACTTGCACCACCCTAGTATTCATATATGAACTTTTTGTTAAAAGTTTAGATTTTTAAAAAAAACTTTTAAATAAAAAATTGCATATAACTAGTTGCTGGGTTTTATCAACTGTACGAATGCTTTGCAGATGTTTATGCATATTAATTGTAGGTAATAATATATAACATAATGCATATATATGCATTATACATTATCTCCAGTGCATATTGTATTAAGTATAGGTGTGTATATATTAAATTTAGAGCACAAATGTTTTCCATAGTTTGCAGGTTTGTAGTGTTGTAGTTTGAATATAGTTGGCATGCTAATAATAAGAAGGTTGGAATTGGATTAGATTTAGATTAGGTTTAGATTAGGTTTAGATTAGATTAGATTAGATTAGATTAGATTAGATTAGATGTGATAACAGGATTATACTCTGTCTGGATCCATTTCTTCTCAAGTTTCCCAGTTAGAAGCAACAAGCAGGAACATTTTTTTAATCACCTTTCATTGGTGCATCAATTACATCACTTTCTGAGAAAACATGACTTTAAGAGCGTGCTGTTAACATCATGGCTTGACGATCATAAAGGGAAAGCTCATGTCTTGTCTGGAAACTTGGGTTGATACGAAATTTGGTAGCCAGGTGGTCTTGAGAGAAATCCAAAATTCTTGTGTCTGTTCTTAAGGCACTGTACTAGATGCCAATTTGTTTCCGGGCAAAATAGAAATTTGTGATTATTCCCTTTAAACCTCTAAATCAGGAATGTCCAATCTTGGCAACTTTAAGACTGGTGGACTTCACCTCCCAGAATTCCCCATGCCTGGCTGGGAAAATCTGAAAGTTGAAGTCCACAAGTTTTAAAAGCTGCCAAGATTGGACACGCCTGGTCTAAATGGTTAAAGTCCAGCTCTTTGACATGTATTCTGCAGAATTGAGGGTCAAACATTTTTTATAGAAGGTTAACAACTATATTAGCTTGATAAACATCTTTTTGAACAGGTGTTTTAATGGCTGATTAATTGCTAATTTTAATTATTAATTGCATCTACTTTGAGATTAATTTAACATACTATATCATCAGCAATGGGTGATATAGCCTGTTAAATTATTAAAAGTGTTGCTTTGTGTAATTATTTAAATTTATTGGGTGGTATTTGCGTATTCCCAAAGAACAGATTTAATCGTAGAGAGAACTCTGCTTTTTAAATACTTTTATGGACAGGTGTCTAGCAGGTATAGCATCACAGAAATACCGTGATGTAAGGCCAAATATTAGTAAAATGGGGAATATTTTTCAGCGCCATTGTTGTTGTTTTATCTTATTATGGCTTTCTTTATATGCCTCTTTCTTTAGAAAGTTGACATTTGTTGTAATTTTCACCGACGCTGATTTGCTATTACACTTAGAATCCAGCTGTTCTCAACTTTTGAAAAGATTGTAGGAAAATAGTATGTATTTATGTTCCAAAAATAGGTGATATTTTGGGAGCTTATCCTCCAAATTTTGTGTTTCAAGACAGCCTTCTCTCTGTTGGTTCTGCCCAGATGTGATGGAATACAGTGCTCTGAATTTTAGCCAGTGTGTTCAAGGGAATCCCAGAAGAATAGTAGAACAACAGAGATGGAAGGGACCTTGGAGGTTTTCTAGTCTGACCCCCTGCTTATCTGGAATATCTCAGGCTAAGGAAGGCTTCATTAGGAGAGGGGAAGCATCTCAATTCTATACATTTTTTCAACACATTACATTTGTCATACTCCCATCAAAAGCATGGTGTTGACCAGTGTTTGATGAAATGTGTATACTTCTCATTCAACTGTTGTGGTGGTGGCAGGATAAGTTGAGCCTCAGTTCCCATGTTTTTTTGGGGAGGAAACACTTAAATCGGTTACAAAGTCTATGGCAGTCTTCTTCAATCTGATGTTCTCCTAATGTATTGAATTTCAAAGTTTATCATTCTGAGTCAACATTGATTTGAGAAAGGTTGGTGCATGATATAAATGCTCTCTGTGTCTTCACCTGAATGAAATATATGATCAACAATCATATTTTATAATACATGATGGCATTAGTTGCACTTGATATTTCTTGGATATTTGGGGATGAATCTAGGTCCGTGATGACGAACCTATGGCACGCATGCCACAGGTGGCACGCAGAGCCCTCTCTGTGGGCACGCGCACCGTCGCCCCAGTCCTAGTCCTTCAGCTGGGTTTTATAAAACCTTTTCGCTTTAGGCCTCTGTCATCGTGTGCAAAAAAACCCAGGTTCAATCAATCAATCAATTTCAACTTCTCGCTGGGAAAAAAAATCTCGCAAAGTTGGAATTGATTGATTGAACTTTTTAGTCCCACCCAGTCTGCCGTTACCACCGAAGCCATGCCCACCCAATGGGCCATGCCCACCCAATGGGCCACACCAACCCAATGGGCCATGCCCACCCAACACCCAACGATACATAAGTGGGTTTTGGGTTGCAGTTTGGGCACTCGGTCTCTAAAAGGTTCGCCATCACTGATCTTGGTTAAGAAAGAACAACTTTCTGCAATATGAATGCCCTTCAAATGTGTGGACTTCGTATATACCACTTTTTTTAGCAATGGGTTTGTTTTCTGTGAAATTCTGACTGTTGAAGTCCACATATTTAGAGGGCAGTTAGGTTGGAGAAGGCTGAACTAGAGGCAGGGGTGAAAACTTTCTTTAAGAAGCAGGTAAGTAAAAGGCTACTTTTTCAGGAAAGAATGAATCTGCACCTGTTGGAATACTTCTAAATCTTTGTTAGGTCTTAGTGTGTGCCATGACTACACCATCAACAATGTGCAATGATTAACTAGTGCAAGGGTAGGCAACCTTGGCTCTTTTATGACTCGTGGACTTCAACTCCCAGAATTCCTGACCCAGCATGGCTCAGCTTGGAGACCTTTCCCTTTCCCCTCAGCATGGCTGACTCAGGAATTCTGGGAGTTGAAGTCCACGAGTCATAAAAGAGCCAAGGTTGCCTACCCCTGAGCTAGTGATTCTGTCATTGTTGCTGTTTTGAATTTGCTTTTACAACAACTCTGTGTGGTGCAATAGAACCAATTTCTAGTTACTGGAAATAATCGCATCTATTTTACACCATAGTATCAATGCAGACTGATTTTATGTGGGTTCCCATTTTTTTTCCTGAATATATGAGGTGGGGGGGAATTTTTTTTTAAAAACTTTCTTCTTCCTCTTCCTCCTCTTCCTCTTCTTTTTTATCTATTTTTTCTTTCTTTCTTTCTTTTCAGAAGGTAACAGGGGCATCTGGTGGAGCTTTACCAAAAAGGAGAAACACCAAGCTATTTTTAGGTATTGTAAAGAGCTGTTTTCACACCCTTCTTCTGACTAACCTAGGTGCATGCATTTTTTCGTTTTGAGTTTTGATTCACACTGGTTGAAGTGCAACTTCCATAGCTGATGGGGTAGGCTTTTAAATTTAATATATTTAATATATTTAATATAAATTTAATATATAATACGTTTTTTTAATACTTTTTAAAAAAATCCCTTTATAAGCTGCTGTCCTGTGGAGGGATTCCCTCACTGCGTTGAGAATTTTTGAGGGATTCATGTACTTGTCTGTCTTTTCCCTTGATGTACCCTACAAACACTTTGCATGACTTAGTAAACTCGATCCTGAATCCTTTCTTTGTGTTGCTGAAGGTCCCACGGAAAGAGACAGAACAACGGACAGACTAATTTCCGACTCTTGGGTTGGTCTTTGCTTATTGAACACAAGCCCTTTGTTCTGAATAAAGCGAGGACACATTTTCTATCTGCCTTCATGCTAAGAATTGTGTGGCTTTTGTTGGGATTAACTGCGGTGTTATAATCCACATTTGCTTTTCTGAAATCAGTAGGGTGTAATTTGGCAGAGGTCACAGTAAATGTATGTGTATATTTGTGCTTGCAAATTATATGTTCTGGGTATGACCCTTTTTTATTGATAGTTTCCTCTGCCTTTTTAAGAGGTAAAGAAGCAATGAGAGAAGAAAGGAACAGGGTGAAAATCTTTATGAAAAGTTGTGGCATGTTTTGAGGTTTAGGGATCAGCTGGAATAATTGTGTGTTTCATGTTCTATCACATCCCATTTCTCTCTTTCTCTCCCTCCCTCCCTCCCTCCCTCCCTCCCTCTCTCAAATTCTTTTCATCCCGTTTATGAAGAAATTTGTGGATTTTAGTAAGTTCTTGTGTTAAAGCCAGGGTTGAAAGAGGAATTAAACAAAAGAAAATAGTATTCCTACCTTCAGCTTCAGTGTAGAATATACTGTATTATTTATTTATTAAATTTATATTCCCGCCCATCTCACTATGAGGCGACTTTGCTTGCTGTGGAGCTGTTAAAACATGGGCTTGTCAAAAGAAAGAGGCTGCAACTCTGATTTAGCATCATTTAAGCAGGGATTCAAAGCCAGACTTTTAAGAAATAAGAACCCAGGTCCCTTTGGTGAATGAATCCATTATTTTTGCTTTTACACCTGCTTGGAAATATTCAATCTTCACGTTCTTTCCACCTGACTAATGAAGAAATGAGTGTATTTTGGATCTCATGAAAAATGAACGGTACTTATTTTATGTAAATTCAATTAAGATGATTTAAAGACCCAATGATTATGGGGATGGGATGGAGTTGAAGTTATGATGGCACTGAAAAAAGTGACTTACAGCTGCAGGATCCTTTTAGTTATGTGATCATGATTTGGGTGATTGGCAACCATTTATAACGGTCACAGTGTCCCACGGTTATATGATTGCCATTCATGTCAGTCACATCAAGCAAAGTCAATGGGGAAGCTGGCAGGGAAGGTCACAAGCAGTGGTCATGTGATGTCTTACTTAACAACCACCACACTTAATGACAAATTTTCCAGCCCCTATTGTGGTAAGTCAAGGTCTGCCTGTATACTAAAGTTAAAGAAAGATGTTAGGATTTGGGGGCTCTACGGATCTGTAATGCAACTAACAGCTTCACTAAATATAGCAAAACCTTTGAAAAATTGTGATGATTGGGATATTAATTTAAACCACAATCTCTTTTAATTCCTCCTGCCTTTAGCCCACTTGTACCCTGAAAAGTCTGTAAAACCATTAATTGAGGCTTTTCTTAAAAGATAACAGGACTCAGCCCTCATAATTTACTTTATAATTTGAGCACTTATCCAAGGCATTTTTTTCCTGTATTGCACAACAATCACTTTTTTCTAAACCAAAAAAGCATCTATTTTAAAAACTGATCCAGAAAAGCTAGTTTGAAGCTAGTTCAAAACTAGGTTTATAAACCGTAAAAGAAACTTGGATGTAATAAGCATTTAATAATGATGATGATGATGATGATGATGATGATGATAAGGTTGGAAAGGACCTTGGAGGTCATCTAGTCCAACCCCCTGCTCAGGCAGGAAACCCTATACCATTTCGGACAAGTGGCTGTCCAGTTTCTTCTTAAAAACTTCCAGTGTTGGAGCATTCACCACTTCTGGAGGCAGGTTGTTCACTGGTTAATTGTTCTGTCAGGAAGTTTCTCCTTAGTTCTAGGTTGCTTCTCTCTTTGATTAGTTTCCACCCGTTGCTTCTTGTCCTGCCTTCAGGCGCCTTGGAAAATAGCTTGACTCCCTCTTCTTTGTGGCAGCCCCTGAGATATTGGAACACTGCTATCATGTCCCCCCTCGTCCTTCTCTTCGTTAAACTAGACATACCCAATTCCAGCAGCCGTTCCTTATATGCTTTAGCCTCCAGTCCCCTAATCATCTTTGTTGCTCTTCTCTGCACTCTTTCTAGAGTCTCAACATCTTTTTTACATCGTGGTGACCAAAACTGGATGCAGTATTCCAAGTGTGGCATTTGAAGGAATGTACAGTAACATAGTCTATTTCTATGGAGGTTTAAATAGGCTCTTACTTAGTTTTATTCAGGTTTGACCAATATCTCAGAAAACACATGTTTCTAGAGAAGCCCCTTAGGTCAGAAATGTACACACAATTGTCAAATAGTAAGGTTAAGTCTAGACTCTAGAGAACAACTCTCCTGCTCTTGAGATTAAATTTCAAAAAAGGAGTTTGCTGGCAGTTTTGATTCTGTGGAATCTTCCTAAAGAGATACAGCTGCTGTGCAGATAGAAACAAATTTAATTCTCTCAGAATGTGGGGAAAAAAACAAACTTCCAGGTTTTTCAGGAAGCATTATAATGCCCACAAATTAAGTAGAGAAAAGGCCAATGAACAAAGCAATGTTACATTTTAATTTGGTTTTTCACGTACTGGAATAAAAGCTTGGATAGAATTTAGGAAGTTTTTCCTCTGATTATCTAATTATCACCACGGATGATCTGCTCATTGTTCGGTCTGCCTGTCCTGAAGTCTACTCACATCAGTGGTGTGTGGAGTTACCAATTGCTAGGAATTACCAAGGAGAAAACAATACCCCTGCCGACGCTGGCAGGGAAAGCTACTTTATACAAACAGAGAGCAAACCCCACACTTACTAGCACTGATGATGTTATCTAGCTGGGTAATGAGACATCGGCAAGAGAACAACCAAACTCAGTGAGCACCAAAGTCTCCACATCTAGGATATTCAATAGCCTGCGATAATTCATTAAACACAAACTAGCAATAGTTAATATTGTTTGCAACACCTCATCATACTTGCATTTACATTTTTGAAAGGGCAGCAAATGGACAAAAGATGATACCTCCCACTGTCTAAATATGGGATCAGATTTCAGTTCATTGCGTTTAATGAGTGACAGACATGAACCTTTCCCCTGGCTTTCACTTAGCCCAGCTCTACAATTTTGTAATCTTAGCAAAACATTTGTGAATTATGTGCTTGCCCCTTGGCTCTTAACAGTGGCCAGAAATGGCAACCTTTATTTGCATAGTTCTGTCCTGGTTTGACCTTTTTTTCTACGCTTCCGGAGCAGAAATGCAGTTCATTTAGCATTCACCATTATAAATGTATTTTGGAAAACTGCAGAGAAGACAAGGAGGATTATGTGATTTATTTATTCAAGTCAAAGGTGCATCTATTTGAGGGATGGGGCAATAGGTTAACTACAGATCTCTATTCAGACCTGCATTTTAGTAATTATGAAAATAAAATCAAAGTCTCATTTAACCCAGGAGTGGGTATTTAACTGGCAGGAACTCACCAAGGTTGAAATTTGATGTTTTCTATGACTGCTTCATACAGATAATCCTCCGCTTATGACCACTACTGACCCTAAAATTTCTGTTGCTAAGCAAAATAGTTATTGAGTTTTCCCCCATTTTACGACCTTTCTTGCCACAGTTGTTAAGTGAATCACTGCAGTAGTTAAGTTAGTAACGCAGTTGGAAAATGAAACCGAGTTCGCCGTTGACTTTGCTTGTCAACAAGTCGCAAAAAGGGACCACATGACCCTGGGACACTGAAACCGTCGTAAATATGAGCCAGTTGCCAAGAGACTGAATTTTGATCACATGACTGTGGTGATGCTGCAACAGTCGTAAGTGTGAAAAATGGTCATAAATTACTTTTTCAGTGCTGTTGTAACGTCAAACAGTGACTAAACGAATGGTTATAAGTCGAGGACTTCCTGTGTTGTTTTGAAGTGGAAGTATCAGCAACTGTACTGAATTCAAATATGGCCTTCGTCTCAGAGCTGTAGGCTTTAACAAATATCTTCTTTTATAGGGCATGATCTTTGGTGGAAATTAAAAGACAGAATTATTGCACCTAATTGAGAAATGTTCCCATAGAATAGGCCTGTGCAACGTGCTTCAGACCGAGAGAAATATTGCCAAAATGCAGGCTCTCTCGAGCTGAAGTTGATATGAGTATAATTAATGTAGTTGAGTATGATTAATGTAATGCAATTAATGTGCTATTCTCCATGGGCTTAATAGAGTGAGCGTGTGTAATATGTTTAAGAGTCTATGGAGTGGGCAGCTCTAATTAATAATAAGGAAGCTCTTTTGTCATATTAAGAATGACAGTATGGCGGCCACTTTGGAGAATTTTGTTTAAGTTCTAGGTGCAGAAAATGCAGCTCATGTGGCCTGGCAGCATCTGTTTTGGATGGCTCATAGTCTGGTAGAAGGTGTGTGTGTGTGTGGGTGTGTGTGGGTATCATCTTTTCACATGCGCTTAATTTGGGTGAATTGGCGTCCTATCACATTCATGTCCCAAGGGGGCTTTTATTTCAAAGGCAGTTGGACTTTCTGTTTTTTCTTTAAGACATTTTGCTTCTCATGCAAGAAGCTTCTTTGGATTGAACTGCAGAAGCTTCTTAGATCAGGGGTCCCCAACCCCCAGTATTTGGACCAGA